TACAACAGCTCAAAACCCATCTCTTCCACATTATGGACTGTAACAACACTTTCCTAGTCACCCAATTAAATGGTATTTATCGCATAAAAATGGGGTTATTTTTTCATTGTATTTCTATTTAAGTAACAGACTCGAACATTAGAACGTTCCAGGAGAGAAAAGGCCATTATATATCTTAAAGATGTTATCTCAGTGTTATTTTGAAGAAGTTGGTAGGAAAATTATCAAAACTGAAATGTCAGTGATTTGTACTCGAAAGCGCAAAACAATTGACATATCACCGCGCGAGATGCAAGATTCCACCGTATTTCGAGACGCTATTGCCACGCCAAACGTAACTCAGTTGTTTTATTGTAAAACATCTGTCGATTTCACATTAATAAATCGAAGAGAAAAAAAAACATTGTTTGCTTTAAATAGTGTTATTATAATACAAATATCGATAGCGAATAGAAGCTCTATTTATGCAAAACTGTATAAAGTTTAAAATACTCTACAAATTCATGTAATTTACTCCCACGAAGACTTCTCTCTTGTATCGCCTATTATTTCCAGAAAAAGTAAAATAAATGTTCTACGTATGACGTAATTATTCCAATATAAAATTACGTTTACTCCAATTTTTCCACAATTCACATTTACATTCGATAATTCGTTTAACGTCAAAATAACTTGTATCCTGAATAAATATAAACCACACTTTTAATTGCTACACGAAATCTCTAATGTTCCCCATAGTATTTCACTAACCTATTCTTATATATTTAAAAGCATCATAGCGTATTCACAATTCAGCTACTCTATAAAAAACATTTATATTAGAACATTTATTAAATACAAAGATCAAAGTTGTGAGCAGACCTACAAGTGACATGTGACTTACGATCTGCCCCCCCGCGAGACAGTAACATCGCTTATAGCGGCAACCAGTCGCTATTAGGTTGACTGTGTCTTGTTGCTTTAAATAAATACATCTGCTATGAACAATTTTTTTTAAGCTTTTATATGAGTTTCTAACAATACGTTACAAATGACGTCGTCTGCTTTTAAATTTACATATTGTTCAAATACAAATGAAACATTACGCAAATAATATATATATATATATATATATATATATATATTACAAACATCAGAGACATTATATCAAAATAAACGTAAACATTTCTGTAAAATATGAATGGGTGAGACTGCTAAGCTCTGACTACCCTTTAGAAAAGTCAAATTATAAAATTAAAACATGAAAAACTCCGCTCTTACAACTTACCTTGTCGCAAAAGAGTAATTTTAATCAGAAGCAGATATGTCTAAAATAAAGTACAACTTACCTCACTCACTGCAACTTTGTTCAAAATATATATTAAATTTCAAACTTGTTAGCATGTGTTAGCGTTCATAAGTAATAAACATATACTTGCTATTTTAAACAAATTATGTAAATTATCGTATTAATATCGTATTACCTAATCTGATCTGCAATATGGTATATTATTTTTTTTAAATAGCTCAGTCCGATACAATGTTGATTCAACAAATTATATTTGGCTGTTACGAGTAATATTCGTGCCTGACAATTCACACGTCAAACTTCTAAGATTGGTTACATCAAACACTCAGAGTTTTCATTTTTTTATTTTAAGATCAACACAAATGTTCAGGTATGTAACATTAAACATTTACAGAACTTGGAAAAATGTTTTGAAGAAAATTTACAGAACTTTATTGTATAAATAATTCACGTTATATCCTATACTTTTCCATACTAGGAGCAGTTTAGGAAGGAAATTTATAATTAAATGTTCTCGCGAGGAAGGTAGCAACTTGCATGCAAAGCAAACCCAGTACTGCCCCAAAACTTTTTGACTTATTAAATGAAAGTTAAGCTACTTGCATCGAAACACCAACTTAATACCACTATTAATTCGTCCACTGTATCTTGCTACTGCCAAAAACTAATCCGGAATGATTAAAGAATAGCATTAACACGTAGCAATTAGGAATTTGACACAGTTACGCAAGATGCTTACCTATTCGTTTATGTTTTGTTGTAACTTAAATGAAAATATTTTCGAGTAAAAAAGTTACGTTGAAATTCGTTAATTATTATTCGATTAAAGAACTACTATAAAATAACAGATAAATTAGAACAACTGAGAAAATTCTGGAATATAATTTTATCACATTCTAGAATATTTTATCTTCGATTAAAAATAAAAAATGTATAAATTTTATATTATACATAAATAAAACACTATAAATATAAGAACAAATCCTATTACGTATTATAATAAAAAAAGTTTTGAAAGCACAAAATACAAATGGTTTAAGTATTTTATTGTAGAGTGTAAACGCGTATGAATTAGATTTTTCAAGGCATGTTTCTTAAAAGAAGACACGTTAAATTCTGTATCTGTAATAAGGGATAAGTAATTTCATCGCGTAAAATTAACATAAGTTCACAGGAAAATTATTCCAAACAATTATTTATAAATAAATTAAAGAACTTTATCGTATAGCATGTTTAAAAGTTCTTACCAGAGAACAGATGTAAATTACGTCTCCGATATAAGGTCGGTCTTCCTCTCAAATGATAATATTAACAAAATAATCTCTTCATACCTGTTGTATATTGAAAACAACATGCAAATGTCACACTTAATCTTAATATATAAATTAATTTCGTACTTTTCTTAATTTACTCTACGTAAATGGTAAAGGAAATGTTACAATCTTTGATAAGTCTGTCTAAACGTAGTGAGCATATTAACACAAAATTAGTATTAATATATTCTTTCAATTATTTCAGACCAAAATTAAATTAGTCAGAGAACGCATAAAGAGAACTTCATTACTATTTCAACTATCTTCTGTTTTGCATACATTAATTCGTCTATTTTAAAATTTACTGTGTGTGACCATCGTGTCAACCGAATTAGAACAATTTTACTGTAATGCCCTACAGAAAACACTTATTATCACTCTCTGAAATTATCAGAATCATCAAAAAGTTTTAAAATTACTCACTGTTTAAACGCAAAAGACCAAACTCGTTCACCGAGACCAATTTCTGCCAATGACATTCGACTGTAAATAATCTGAGCCCTTACAGCATTCTTGTTTACGAATAACAATCCATATATAAAGGTCTATATTATATAGGCTGTCTAAATAATAATATATTAGACATTTGGTAGGACTCCTTGGACGAGATTACAGCCCGTCGCAAGACTAAACTAGGACAAACATCCATGCCTTGAGCGGAATTCGATCTCAAGGTCACAATGTCCAATCGCGCGAGGCTCCACGCCTCAGACCCGCGTGTCCACAGTTTAATTAATAGCAAAATTTTCATGTTTACAGTCAGAGTCTGGAACCTCTTAATCGCTTCGATTCGATTAGACAATCACCAGACGTAACCCCGTTCCTTTTAATCATTGTCTTGACAGCAATCAGTTAAGTTTAAAAACAGGTCATGGTACTTCTCACTGACTCAGTTTTCTGTTACCAGTTCAAAAATTTCAGAAGCCGCGTAACGAAAAACGATGAAGTAATCTTATCTTTTATTCCTAACGCATGTAAACACACACACGTGTGTGGTTTGTGTGTATATCACGCCGATACTACAATAAAAAACTTTGTTTGTTTTGTGACTTTAAAAGGAACGACTAGTTTCAACAACCACAAAAATTCTACAAAAGACGACAAATTTACGAATCCACATCACATCGGCTCGAAAGCCAAAAATCTAGCTTCATCGTATTATTTTATTCACAATTTGAAAGACTATTAAATATTATAAAGTATAAAGAACATTAAACTTTACATTTTAAGTAAATTCAACGCTAAATAATGTACTTAAAGATGTTATTATTGCCTTATAGCGAAATCCTACTCGCAATGTGCGTTTTACTATGGCCTACGTCTAATATCCGTTCTGAAATTTAATAAACTAACATAAGGCGAATATGTTCGCTTGATATTAAAATACTAAGCCAGGTAACAAATTCTATATTTGTATAATGGGTCAGGCTTAAACCGTCTCTCTTTTTTTTACCTGAAGATGGAGGTGGAATCAGACTACGAAACGTTGCAGATATGTGTATAAGACAATGCCCAGGGACCATATTTGTATCACAATACCACCAGGATATTAAATAAACCTACTTTTTTGTACTGAATAATATATCAAGGGCAAATAATGATTCATGAAATGATAGTTTATTTTAAGGTACAATCCTAATGACACTAAAGATAATGAATTAAATCATTAAATTGCCATTCGAGATGTCGGTCTCAGGCGAGTTAATTAGGTACAATCCTAATGACACTGAAGACAATGAATTAAATCATTAAATTGCCAATCGAGATGTCGGTCTCAGGCGAGTTAATTTTAAGAACGGGTAAGATCTACAAACGTTTGTGACGAATTAACGATACATAACATTTCCTTGTCCATTTAAGATACTAAGTCATGCTTCGTAAAATTATTTTGCACGTGTAACCTACAGATTTTGTTGTACTGTACGTTCCTATATTAAACATTCACATCTAGCTTAAAAAAATACGTGTTCAAATCACAGGAAATTCTGTTCTGACAAGTTAAAATGCTTATGTTAGAGCTTAATGTCACTAGACAACCATGCAAAACATTCATTCGTCACAGCTAATTTGCAGTGAACACAAATATGCTTTTCTCGTGATCGTTTTCCGTATTTTAAGACCTTATATTACGTAATGCTCAAGACATTACCAATTCATGCCCTCTAGAAAGCAGTTTTATTGTTTTATGAAAATTTTATAGTAATACTGCACGCCTGAAATCGAGATTTTTGGCTTCGCCTGCCCTCTGTCAGCAGAGCAGAGAAGCTATACGACTACGCGGGATAGGAGATCAATACGAAGCCGTGAAGAGGGGGGGACGAGGGACCCGGGTTCGAACGTGCAACTGAATGGAGTACGCGACACGCCTACCCACGTGGTAGCCATGCGGTTCAACTCACCTGCTAATCTGAGAGCGGACATCCTCTGGAACTCCGGCTCCTGCAGCCACTTCCACATGCGACGAAATGTCTCTCGACCGGATTTCAGCTTTGACCAGGGCTTGGGGTTGCGCAGTAAGTCTGATAGCGTGCCCTGAGAGCGACACAGCACTCTCTGGGCGAAGATCGCTTGCGGAATGCTGTACCTCTTTAATTCCGCGCTGATTCTCTGCGCCAACTCTTTCGTGTTGATCTCTTCTACCTCGCCCGCCCCTGCCGGCGCGCCAGCCCCCACTCCTACACCGCCTCCACCGCCCCCGCTGGAGGCGGGCACGGTCTTCACTGCTACCGGTGTCTGTGGAGGCGGCTGTGGTTGTTGTTGAGGCACATAGCTCGGAGGAGACGGTGAAGCGACGACCACAGCCTCCCTCTGGATCTGTTGGGCCACGAGCGACGGTGGTGAATGGTGAGGCGAGACGACGGAGGCGTGAGGGGTGATGGTCGTCAGCCCGTTGATGGTAGGGAGGCTGGCGGCGGCAAGGGAGGTGGCTGTACCCCCAAAACTCGTCACGATGGTGTTCGGGGGCGAGTGGAGCGAAGCTGACGGGGGACTGAGTGTCGGACTCTGCGGGGCGACTAGAGTTGCTCGACCCACTAGGTCGCGTTGAGTGTACGGCGAGTCATAGCTGTTGGGCGACATGCTTTTCTGAGGAGAATGCAACCCGTTCTGGCTGTACGAGCTCTGAGGAGACAGAGGCGAGTGTTGTTGAGGAATCCCGATGCTACTGAGTCCGTTGTTAGGAGACGAGTAATGGTGAGGCGGTGACATGCTCATGGACTGAAGCTTCTCGTAACTGTAGGGAGAGTTGACTCCCATCCCGAGACCGATGTTACCCAATCCGTTGTTCTGCATGACCGTGAAGGAACCAGACACGTTGCTGGCATGGCCGTACGCAAACTTGTCCGACATGGTAGAGATAGGAGGAAGGGGTTGTAATGGTGTGAGGGTAGCGTACGAGGAGCTGGGACTAAAGCCTGGGGGTGACATCCTGCCGTTCACAGAGGTCAGAGTCTGATACGTAGGTTCAGGTTGCAGAGAACGAAAATCCGTAGCGTCGATCATGCTAGCAACACTTACAGAAATACCTGAAGTGGGCGACAGTTTCCCTGGACTCAACAGTTCCGAGTCATGTGAGTCGTCTTGTGCCTGAACTATGACAGAGAGGCTCTCGTGTTTGGTGGTGTCGCTTGCCACGCTCACGGCACCCTCTGCAGACAAGTCCTCGGCACTGGTAGGCAGCTCCTCTTTGATCTGGATGTGACCGTGTTCAGCTCCAGACCCCGACTCAGTGAGTGACTCGTGCGATGTGGGCACTGACCCGGCCAAGGCGGAACGTGAAATAGTGGGGCTTAGCTCCGTGGGCGACATGCTAAGTCCGGCATGCGTAGATGTAACTGGCGAATCGACCGTCTCTGGTAATGGCTCGCTAAGCGAATGCTGTTCGGCCATTTCCCCCATGTTTTCCATCCTCCCGCATAAAGTTTCACACACAAACGCCACTCACAGAATCTCTAAACTTCACTCCACACGCTAAACACAATTATTACATTAACACGAGTCCCTGGTCAAAGACTTTACCACCGGAAAAGTCCCATACACAAAATTTTCACCAACCACCAGACGTCCATGTTTGTATGCTACTCCACGACGCATCCAATTGCGCATGTGGCACTGTCACAACGCATCAAACGCAAAGTAATGTCCGCGTAGTTCACAAAGTGAATTTCACCCGGTTTAACACGTTAAACACGACGTCTCCTGCATCATTTTAAGTACTAGGCAGAGGTGACAGCTGCTTTGACCGTCCAGCTGCTTCTCCCCACTAGATATCAGCCCTCATGGTATTTACCACACCACGCCAGTCACCAGCTGCAATCGCAATGGCTTCACTTTCCACTACAACTTCTCGACCTCTATTGTCTGACATTTGCAGGGCTCCTCACATGCAATGGCCGAATTTGAGTCTACGACGTCACTCCAAGAGAGACCCTCGGCGTCTATACGTGCAAGATACAAGTTGTCACAGCTCAGACACTTGTTTTATTAAGAATTTTCTTCGATGTACGAAGAAGCACATGGCAATGGTATGGATATTGATTCAAGGCAGACGAAATTCCGATAATTTTGATGCCTTAAAATCAATAATAATTATCATGTGGCCTCACAACGTTGAAGATCGTCTGACTGAAAGGACCCTCGACTTCCAATGGGGATATATTTCAAGAGGTTGCACTGTTGTGCCCTAAAAGTAAATGGAAAATTATTTTGTGGTGTATGGTGGTTACGTATTTTGCAGTTGTTAATCGTGTTACGTAATGGTGGACAGTAACTAGGTGGTGACTACTAGCGTTTATATTCTGTGACTCTTTCGTAGTGTGTGACTAAATACAATGAACGTATTTCGTATGCTAAATATTTTACATTACAGATTTCGTTTTCAGTAAATTCCTTTTAAAATTACATTCATACTTGGGCGTTACACAACGGTAATTATCTTTCTATTATTTTTGTGCTAATAGTCATATGGAACCAGTTTATGGTTATAAAGTGTAATCGTCATTAACCTCACTAACCTAACACAATAAATCATGCAATCAGTAGGTAAACAAACACTTTAAAATACATAATTAACAAAATATATCTCCCATAATTAGACTACTACTTAAAAATAACGTTACGTTAAGTCTGTGTTTTAATTGTTTTAAATATTATTTTATCTGTCATGACGACACTTAACATAAATGACCTCATCCTGAACACGAATTTCAAGTCAGTTACAAAGTGTGCGTAAAATGAAATGGGATTTAGACTGAATTAAATGCAGACATAATTATTTGTTTATTCGCTTAAAATTTTGAAAATACGTAAGTAAGATAATGAAAATTTATCAGTATTAGATATAAGAGAATTTTAATTTTATCTTAGACAGGATTGTTTAAAAATACGACCACTACAGATAATTCAGATTAACTATAAAGGATTCAACATCATTAAAATAATACAATAAAGTTACTGTTCCATGACTACAAAATATGCAGCTAAAATATAAATTAAAGTGTGTGGTTTGCTAATTTAAATTCCGTTTTTAAAAGTGTATAACTTTGTTAAAGAAATAACATTGTGTTGCCAAAAATAATACCTCCCATAACACGTCGTTAATTTTATAGAAAATAATTTTAAATTTTTAAAACAAACAAAATTTAAATATTTCCCGAAAATAACTAAGCATAAATTTAATTCAGGATATGTCAGTAGTTCAAAAACTGTTAAACAATACTGAGAT